GATCCCACAGTGCATAGTCACAGGCCTTGTTCGGCTTCAGCGTGATGCCGTTTGCCTCCTGTCTCAGCTGTCCTCAGTAATTCATCTCTGGCTTGCTGAGCTGGGGTTGAGGAAGAGAGGCACCTCACTTGGAGCATTGTGTGCAGTTCTGGTGTCCTCAACATAAAAAGGACATGGAGCTGTTGGAGTAAGCCCAGAGGAGGCCATGAGGATGATCAGGGGACTGGAGCACCTCCTGTATGAAGACAGGCTGAGAAAGTTGGGGCTGTTCAGCCTGGAGAAGAGAAGGCTGCGTGGAGACCTCACAGCAGCCTTCCAGTATCTGAATGGGGGCTATAGGAATGCTGGGGATGGACTCTTCATTAGAGACTGTAGTGACAGGACAAGGGGTAATGGGTTCAAACTTAAATGGGGGAAGTTTAGATTTGATGTAAGGAAGAAGTTCTTTGCTATAGAGGTGGTGAGGCACTGGAATGGGTTGCCCAAAGAAGTGGTGAATGCTCCACCCCTGGTGGTGTTCATGGCCAGGTCAGACAGAGCCTTGGGTTTCATGGTTTAGTGTGAGGTGTCCCTGCCCACAGCAGAGGGGTTGGAACTGGATGATCTTAAGGTCCTTTCCAACCCAAACTGTTCTATGATTCTATGGTTCTAAGACACGCTTTCACCACCAGGTTCCTGTGGGGTGAATGCAGGTATCGAAGCACCTTACCAAGCCTCATCTGACCCTTGTTACCTGCCACCCTCTATCTTGTCACAGTTCCATGGTCACCAGGGATGGAGGGGAGCACCCATGGGAATCCCCTGTCCCTGTCTCTGCTCAATCCTTGCTCCCTGGTCTGCATGCATTGCCATCATGGTGGTGACCAAAGAGAGCCCAACCGGGCATGGTCAGTGACCAAACCCTGGCAAAGAGCTGGACCTTGCAGTAGGGAAGGTGCTGGAGAGTGTGTCTGGGGGGGTCAATGTGATAAGCAGGATGATAAGACTGGGGTATACATGAGCCACTGGTAAGCCAAGAGAAGCAATCCCAAACTCCAATATAGCCTTGTGGTTTTTGGCCAAGGGCCTGGGCTGGTGGCCGTATGAACTCGTACTGCATATGCTCTAATTCCCAGTCTGTGCACATGGCCTTGCGCAGTATCTGAGGGGCCTGAGCTTGCTGTTAGGAGGTGGGATAAATTAAGAAGGATGCTCTTATCTCCTGGAGTAGCTGTGGATATACAACCCCTGCTTCTTGACTTCCTAGATGTGTCTCTGCCCTGAAGCTTCTTGGAAGAGATGCCTGGCTGGAGAGGTCTGGACAGAGGCTGGGATCTCTGGAAGAGACCCCAGGAGGAAGAACCTGATTTCGACAAGATCACCCTCTTGGTGAAGGAGGAAGAGCGCTCAGGTGTCAGGTCTTTGGGGCATGGCACTGGCTGTCATTGAGACATTATTGAGCACTAGTGATCTGAGGGTGCAAAGGAAGAAGAGCCCAGGAAGAGGGTGCTGAAAACAGGAGTGAGACCTTGAAAGGGTCAGTAGTGGCTGTTGGAGTATCTCTGCTCTGACTGTAGGTACAGCTTGTGATATATGCTAAAATCCCATGGTTAGCCATGACTTTACTCATTTTGGTTGAACATCCACTGCTTCCCCAGAGGAATTTCCCATCCACACCTGACCCAATGAAAGAAGAATAAGGGTTACTTTAATGAAGACACCACATGAGAGTAAATCCTTTAAACAAGACAGAGCCAGAGGGGATGTGTCTATCAGGGACCATTAAGCCAGAAGCCCTGGATGGACCTTGCCATTCCAAAGTCCCTTTGGTGGTAGTTGCCAGGGGCTGAAGAGGGTAAAACCCCCAAACCACAGCAAGGTTTGATGATGAGCTAAAATTTATGATTTTTCACCATAAACAAATTATTTTATCTTTTAACCTCTTTCAAAAGAAACTTAATGAAACTGGTTTAGCACTAATTACATTTTCACATTTTCTTAGGAAATTAGAGCTGATTTTTCACTATGTTCCTTGAAATCCTGATAGCAATTCTTTTATTGGCCTGACACTACATTTTCTTACCAAAAGCCATATTTCGGTGGTTTCCAAAACCAATAATTTCAATAGAAAGCACTAATGAAAAATCATAGAAAAGGTGCCAGTTTCAAAGCATATGAAATGCGTAAAAAAATGTATGTCTTTATTTTTATTTTTTTTCCTCATATGGATTTATTTCCATGTCCAACCAAATTTTGATCATCTAATAATGATGTTTTCTTGAGAGGAAAGAAACCCCAAGCTGACCACAGCAACACAGCTTGCAGTTTTAGCTGATGCAAATCAGCCCATCTCCAGAGGGGCTACACTCTATGTAGCACAGAGGGATTATTTAGCTGTGTGTGTTTATGTAGCGTCTTCACACCCCTCCATTTGTTCCTGAAACCAGTAGCAGCACTCCTGCCCAAACCAACAGGGCTGCAATTGTATGGCGAAGAGCAAAAAACCCTGTGGAGATAGAGAGAATATCATAAGCAAATAAAAAATGGAAGTTGAAAGGTGAGTTTTGCGGAGAGGAAGTGACTCATGGGTTGGGAATGAGGGATGGGGTCTTGGGGAGCCTCAGCAGCTCGAGCTTCAGTGACCCCCGACTGTGAGGAGTCATGGAGAGGACAGAGGAGAGGCCAAGCACGGAGCAATGAAATGAACAGTTGGGTCCAGGGAGAGCTATGAAACCCTGGAAGACAAGCTCATGGCGGTCATGCAGAAAGGGGAGGAATATCCAGCCTTTCCAGACTGTCTCTGCTGTTTATTCTTCCTTGGCTTTGATCGGGGGCTGTGTGAGACATGACAAGGCAGAGACCTGAGGGAAACCAGTAAAGCTGGAGCATCTACAGCAATGGTTTAAAGCTGTGCTCAAGCTCCTGACTCCACATCTGCTGTGCTGTATAGGGAAAGGGCAGCAGTATTTCCCCAGCCACTGTAGCATAAAGGAATGTGGTAGTATATTTTAAATAGTTTGGATATCCTTGAATGAACCCCCCAACCTCCTCCTGCAAAAGCCACCAGAACCCAGCCAAGCCATCAAGTGTCTGCAACCAGTGTGTTTTGGGGAAGGATGCATGGATGCCACAGCAGTGCACAAGTATTGCATCAGGACATGCAAGTGTGGGGGTGAGGCAGGGACCTGGTCCCCTTCCCACCACCCTCCAGTAAATCTGTGTCTGTGTGTAGAGACGCTTGGTGTATTGCATCTGGTTGTAAAAAAAGCTATTTGGACGCTGGCTGTGCCTTAGCAAATGGTGCCTGAAATAACACAAAGAAGACCTCAAGCCTGTAAAGTGGGGAGGCTTGTGAGTTGGAGAGCTTCTTGCCAAGGTGCTGCAGTGGCAGCTTGAAAAGAAGCTGTGCGCTCACTTCTCCACCTGCCCTAACCCCATATCCTGCTGTCTGCACCCTTCTCTCCTGCCCTACATGGGTTAATGCTCCCAGGGCATGTTCACAGCTCTGAGATCAGGCAGAGGGCGAGTGCCCACAGACATCCTTGGTCTCCCCTGACTTTGGTCTCCCCTGACTTTGGCAACACTGAGCTGTTTTGGCTTCATTAGAGCCTGATTTGCATGGTAGGGAAATAATTGGCTCTCAATAACTTAGTCTGGGCGTGGTTTTCAGAGGTACGCAGTGCTTGCAAGGGAGTTGTGGAGCAAAGTGTTTTTTTATACTGTTATAGGGGAAGGACAACACATATATATATATATATATATAAGTAGTAGACACCTGCTTTTGCAGGCAAAGTTTTTTATTTCACCTCATTGTAATGAAAACAGATTTTAGCTTTAGCACCACTTAGTGTCATTTAATTTCTGAACATCCCGGATACACCTTCGTCATTCATGGTTTGGCTGGAGTATTTCTATCGGCAAAGCAAGCTGGAGATGCTGCTTTCTCAGGAGAATGCAGCATTACCTGGAAACCCTGTTGGTGCCTGTGCTGCCTTGTACCAGGACACAAGAAAGATTTGATTCAAGGTCTGTTCCCCAGGGTTATGCAGCCTCAAGGAGGTAGAGCTGAAGAAGACCCCATTGATCTCTTGGTCCTTCTACCTTCATATGCGATCATTGTTTCTGAGGGCTGAAGAGGCAGAGCTCTGTTACTGGGAACATGAACTTATTTGGTGAGCTGTTGCTGCATGGGGATGCTCTATATCCCAGTTTCTAGCACAGACCCTGAAAAGCACAGTTTTTAATGATCCTTTCTAGGTGGAAAGCCCCAGCAATACCACACAGAGCCTACCAAAGCCCTGGCAGGGCTCCTGCCTCCATGGAGCAGTTTCCATGCTAGCATCCAGAAGGCTTATGGCCAACCTAGTTTAAACGCAGCATGTGGCAGAGCTCAGCTCAGTGGAGACGAGAGTCAATCAAGGTATGTTTGATGCTTCCCATCTCTTCTGATCAATCTTCAGCACTCATGAACTAAAATTAAGCTTTTGAACTGTAACAGGGGAATTTCTCTCCTACTTTCATAGGCCAGCACTTGGATGAGGCTCAGCAGCAGTTTTAGTGTGGATTCTACTGGGCATAATACTGGAGACTTTGATTGTAGGAGTTGGCTTGGAGTCCTCTATTTCTTGAACGCTATTGAGACAAACATCCTGGCCAAGGAATCCGTGCAGGCACCCTCTAACTTTGAGGCAGTAACATGGGCCAACTATTGCTGTGAAGCGCTGAACAACGTGCTGGCATCCAGCCTGGCTTTGCCTTTAATATGCATAAGGCAGTACATGACATTGATGTGGGCCATGCACTTGAAGAAGAACACTTAAAGAACCCAAACCCTACAGAGCAGTGCTGCTCTAGAGCCAGGGCAGGGATGCTCCTGATGCTGTCCATCATACATTGGTGACCACCTTCTGTGTATGTTTTAGCCCCATCTCTTCATAACAAGCCCCTCCCTGTCCTGACAAGCTCCACCCAAAGACACCTCTCCTATAAATCACCCTCCAGTTGGAGCAGGCTTTTCTCTACAGTTGAAGGTGCTGAGCATGGGGAGAGGATGGAAGAGTGTGCTTTGCTTGGAGAGGAAGAATAGGAAAGCTAGGTTAGTGGCCAGCTCTCTGCGAGTATTTCGTCTGCTTGTCCTCCAATTAGGCCAGCAATATCATTCTGCTGTTAGAAAATAATCTCTGTGACATTCACCAGCGATGGATTTGTTGGTTGTAAAGTTAAAGAGGCTTTGGGCTTAGGGAGCCTGACCTTGGATCTAGCTCTTCTGAGCTTGTGAGTGCAGGCTGGTGTTTTAGCTGGGAAGCAGAAACTTTTGAGCTAGTAAGTAACAATAAACAAGCTTAATGTTGGTTTGTTATGCATCTCTTAGAAGAGGTTTAAATGTGGAGCCCTGTTTGTAGAGAGAGAGACAGGTTAATACTGAGTAAAGGAAGCTGGTTGAATGCTTTTTTAATGTTATTTTGGAAAACCTGGAGTTTTTTTGTGGGAGAGAAAAATGTGTCACTCACTTTCAGAAGCTATTTTTAATGGTTTGCTTTTTTTTTTAAGCATGAGCTGAATTTTTGGTGAATAACTGCTATTTCCTCTTCTGCCTTACTAAAATGGTAGGTGGAAGATAAAGGAGGTCGGAGAGGGGAAAAAAAAACAGTGTAAAAGGATTAGACTCCCCTAGTCTTTTTGATAAAAGTATTTGCAAAATAGCTTTTCAAGAGTAAACATTGCTCCTTCTTGAAGTTTATGGGATGCAAACAGTGGTATTGTGGAAGAATGCGCCTTTCACTTTTTGAAACAAAGCTTAGCAAAATATCTGTAATACGACTGGAGGGTCTTAAACTGAGTTTACCTGCATGCTCAGAAGTCTTTCTATTGCATTCTAGAACCTCAGAAATATGGGGTTTTCTTTTTCTTCCTTCCCCCCCCCCCCAAACCTGTCTGTGCTGTATGTCAATGATGAAGTAATTGCAGTCTGGATAAAGCTTTTTAGTGCTGAGCATGAAAAAATAAGCAATGGGAATGGAGCTACTCTGTTTCTCCCCTTGGAGGAGGAAGACTCTTGTGCCCCAGTTGCCATAGTGTCAGTCAGAACTGATTTGCAAATGAAGGGGCTGGAACTCCAGCATGAGCCTATTGCTGCTCCAGGAGTTCATCCCCTAATGTTCTCTGTTCTTTTGTCTGCTTTCTTACTCAGGGGTATGGCCAGGTGCCAGCAATGTGACAGCAAGGGGTGAGCACTGCCAGCAGATCCATTTTGGGCTTAGCTATGGGTATCCCCAGTGAAAAGTGTTAGCTAATAAAGTCTGCCTGGAGTGTCAGCCTCCATCTCCAGGAGGAGACTTCAGCTGGGATGTCATTTGAGAAAGGGAAGAACCTGCCCTGTATTATTCTACTTCTCTACAAGGTGATTTTGGTTGCAGCTTTTAAGCCTCTATTTCCATGGCAGTCCATGTTCCACGTACCCACCAGGGCTTGGTTTAGAAAGATGCTGGTCACAAGCATCATTGAATGGTTGGGGTCTCTGGGGAGGAGCAGGTCTTGGGCAGCTAGTGATGGGTCTCTGCTTTGTCTTCTGCCCAGGCTCCCTGGGGTGTTGGCAGTTGGGATCAGTGATCAACAGGACAGCAGTGCCTAGCTGTAACCCAGACCTGGATTGCAAGGTAAAGACACAGGGACATGTTTTATTCCAAAAGAAGAGAAGAAGCTCCACCAGCTATGCCAGGCAGCCAGCTTGATGTCTTGCCCTTGTGTGTCTCCATCCATCATGGGCTCAGAGGTGAGAAATATCTACTATACTCAGAGAGATAAATCTAAAGGTGAAGCTGATTGTTGTCATGTATTTATTGCTATTGCTCTGTTGTACCCATGTGGAGCTTTATCCTCTTCATATCTCTCCTCAGTTCTCCTGTGGTGCTTCAAGAATTCATTCTGGCTAAGTTCTTTGCAGTGCTGTTGAGGGCAGCTTTGGTTGATGTACAGGGCTCTTCCTCTAGGTTTGAGGACTGAGATGAAACGTGGATGGGGTTACTTTTATTTATATTGTCAAAGGGAAGGTTAAAAAGTTGTTTTGATGTATGTTTTGTGTTAAAATGAAAATTTTTTTTCTATTCAAATGAAACATTATTGGAATGTGAAATTTTTTGCTGCAAAGAAATGTTTGTTTTATTACATTGTGTGAACCTTTAGAAACAGTGTTTGGAGTCTCCTGAGGATAAGGGACTGGATGTATTTGTGTTGCCTGCTAAATTGTCCCATGTAGTAATGCAGGCTGGTGGGATAGGAGAAGGTCACCTGCATTGAGATTTCATAGTGGGCAAACTTAGTGAGAAATATATGTGACTCTGTGATTTGCTTGTAAAGAGTCTGGAGTGGCAGTAGTACTGTGTAACTGTGTGAAACTGCTTTTGAGGTCTGATTTTTGTTTTGCTTATCCAGCCATATTATTTTAGGACAGATGTGGTGGTTTGCTACAGGTGCTACTGGGGTGGTGGATGAGTGGTGAAGGAGATCAGGCGTAGGCGGGGGTGTAATCAAACACTAATTCAGCAAACCAGGCCTTTTGGCTCTGTGAAACCATGTTGAAAATATTTATTTTCCTCTTGGGAAAGGATGTGTTTGCAACATCTGGGATTTCTGGGAATTCCCCCTTCTGGATGGGCTTAGGCACAAGTAGAGCAGGAGCTGTGCTCATCTAATGTGCCTGTCCATGCAGCATTAGCTGGAGACTTCACTGGGTAATCCTTGCATCTGGCACAAAGTCCTGGGGCTGAGCAGTGTCTAATGGCACAGGAAGAAAACCAGATTCAAACTGAAGCTACTAAATGCTGGGGAATGCATCTTGTTAACTTCATGCTCTGATGAGGTTTCCTAGCATGTTCTCACTCAGCTGTTTGCCCAGGTTTGTGGGCATTGGGCATCTTGTTTGGTAAGGAATGGAGATGTCAGTGGGACTCAAGCAGGCCTTGAAGAAATCTGGGGATGGTTTCATTCCCACACCCCTTCTGGGTGATTTGCCTCTTTGACTGTGGCAGCCTGGTTCAGCTTTAGATCCAGTTTTGGATGGTTTTGGGCCTTACTTAAGCCTGTGTAATATTTTATTCTACATATAAAATTATTCCTCATGTGTAAGCATGTTTTATGTTAGTACAGAGACACCAATCCTAACAAATCCCTTTTTCTTTAGCAATTAAAATACAGATTACAATCCTCACTGCTTGGGTGAAAAACTTTCTGCAGATAATTCTTGACCCTGCTTATGTGTTAATGTCTGTTACCCATCTTTGTCACAATCAAAGACCTTCACTACAACAGCTGAAACCAGATTGTCAAAAATGTTAAGAGTGGTATGTTTGACCTGGGGTTAATTATATGTGTCAGTGATATTTAAGTGGTAGACATGGGGAGATGTGTCAAAGATTGAGTTTTGCTGGGTAAAGATTCAGTAGCAAAACAGGACGTGGCTTTTATAAAGAGAATCCAGTCTCTGGCAACATCAGCTCCAGATCCTGGAAGCCAGAGCCCACAAATATGGGCACTACTCAAGTTTGCTTTGATGCAGGAAGGCAGCATTAGATCAGGTATTATAGGGGTAGTGGAGGGCCACTGGTCACCAATCTGGTGTACTTGGCTTTGCAGCAGAAGAGCTGAGATGGTGCCTTTTACTTGGGCAGGATGTCTTCTGTTGGGAATGAGAGCAGCTGCATCACAATCTCTTGACCAGGTCTCTGACATGTGAGCTCTGGATTGTATCCTGGTAATATGCAGCTTAAGTGGCAAGGCAGTTTTTGACCCATTTCCTGAAATGTAAGAAAATTCTGCTTTAATGAAGAAAACCAAGATTTTTTCTGAGCAAAGAATCCAATGAAACTTGTCTTGCAATCTTAATTTTTCATATGTTCTTGTCCAAAATGGTTTCTCATTTCTCTGATCTAGTGCTTCTCTGGGCAGCAGCAGGCACAAGATTCATCCAGTTCTCAGCTGTTTGTAGTGTTTAGCTGGTTTATTTCCATGTTCATAGAGTAGTTTAACTGCCTTTGTTTCCTTTGCATTGAGAGACACAAGTGAGGTTTCCTTTATTTTACTCTTTTGTTTCTGCCCCTTCCTCAGCCAATTCACAGCAGTTTTGGTCTAAGCTCGGTAAAGACTAGCCAAGGGGCAGAAAAATTGGAAGAATGGGTTCAACATTTTTAGGAGAATGGAGAAATCAACACCATCATTGCATCAGTGTCTTTACAGTTAGCTCATGTTAAGAGAACAAAGTTAAGTATTGACATCTCAAAGAAGCTATGACTTTGTTAGTATTTAGGTTGCCATCACCAGGAGAAAATGTACTAATTCATATCCTTGGTGTGGGTGAACAAAAATAGTACCTGGATACCAGACCTGTATTCGAAGTAGGATTAGTGAGGCGTAAGCTGCAAAGAGAAATCATGTAATCTTAGTCTTTGGTCTTAAAACAAGAAGGAATGTTCTCTTAGATGTCCTGTTCAGTTGGAAATTACTGGGCTCAATGCAGGAGTAACTGGGTTAAGTTCTGTTCTAGATCTTTAGTTACTTTGGAGGGTCTTGCCTGCCCTGTCATGTCTCCAAGATGCAGCACACAAACCAGAAGACTTTACAGTAACTTCTCATGTGGGGCATGTTCCTGAAGTGGCTGATCTAATAATCTGCATGTGTTAGCAACCCAAAAAACAGACTTCAGGGAAATAACAGGGCTGTGCCTGCCTGGAAGAAGTGAATTTGTAGTTGCTGGGACCAGTACTGATTTATGTATGAGGGTCTCTTCCTGCTGGAGTAATGGCAGGTTTGAAACCAAGCTGGATTAGAAGTCAGCTGTGATGAGTGTTTCCTTCTTGGGTTTCCTTTTAGATTACTTGTCTCAGATTTTGCCTCATTCTGTAGGCTCTTCACATCTGATTTTGTAAGTCAATAATGAAGCTTGCAAGAAAAGGTGTATCAGGAGAAGGAACATGCTGTACAAGCCTAACATGCTGTACAAGCCTATTTCTTGCATTATTTCTAACTCTCCTGTGGTCCTCTGGCAATTGTTGGTCAACAGATAGACTATGTAGCTGCTCCAGTGTCAAAGCTTGCTTATAGGTTGAGCAGGACCTTTCATTAAGCACACCATTGGTTCCAGTGAGGTAGGTGTTTACCCCACGTTTCCTCTGCACACTAGATATAGCTTAAAGTTCTCCTAGCTGCCTTGTGACCACAAATTCCTCCAAAAATATGGAACAGGACAACTTTCTGGCTGCCTGGAAACCTTGCTGAGATTTTCTGTACAAGGGGGAACAACACAACTTCAACAGAGAAGTCAATTATAGCAATGGAAACTTCTTCTTTAAGACTTTGATGTGAGGCTGGTATTGCTTTTCACGAGGACAGAAGTGTCAGGAATGCCACTTTTAATGAAAAATGTTTTAATGGCAAATACTTTCCACAATGTAATGGTTATTCTTGGGTTTGTCTGGTGACTGTTGAACCTCTGTATTTCTTTGCAGAGTTATATGTAATATGGTTTGGCTCTGCCTTTTCACTCTTGCTCAAGCGCAGTCCTGGTCTAGGTAGGGAAGTCAGGGGAACTGAATATGATAATGTATTTTGTCTGTTACTTGTATTGAAGTTCTGTATGAAGTAAGATAGTTCTGAACCTTGGACTAATGGATATTTACTTCTGCTACCCTGATGCCTGTAAAATCATAGGCCTTATTCTAATATCTATCTTAAACTCCATCCAGCTTGAACTATTCCTGATCAATATGGGTTTAAACATGTGAGAATTCTCCTCAGAACTGATCCTATAGGCTGATTATTAGGGAAGGACTGCTCTGGATGTCAGTGGTAAGTATCATCTCACACAGATACAATCCTAAAGCAGGTATGTGGCAGCAGTTTTCTCTGTAATGACAGTTTTTTGAGGATAAGGAGACAAAAATTTTTATATAGCTGAGATTTCTCCATCTGTTCTTATCCTGTTCCATCTCTGGACAGTCTGAACTCTGCTTTAGCTTCTGTGGTGCCAGACTTGCTAAGCTCCCCCTCTTCTCTGGAAATCTCCACAACTAAGACAGTGCTATTGACATCTCTATGACTAAGGACAGCTTATGCTCACTGGGAAGGTGTGAAGCAAGTGGCCAGGCTGGGTTATGGCATCGGATTGCCACTGGCACTAATAAAAGGACTGGTAATCTAGTCATGTTTTTGACTACCGAAGCAATTTCTATGGCCTTAATGGTATGGAGTGGAGGAGGGGATGGGAATGGAGTAGGGATTGGTCACAAATTCACCTGTAAACCTGTGAAATAAAAGAAGCCATGAGCTTTGCAGGTCACTATGATCTTTTCTTTGGATCTCATGGAGTGGTACAGTCAGCATCTGGATACTGTGGCCAGAGCTGACACAACTCCTCCAGCACCATGCTGTGCCCTGGCAGAGACCTGCATTTACTACACCAGAGGTAATAACAAGTGGGACTCTGCCATCTGATGCCATCATGGCCATGAGTACAAGTGGGCTACAAGGGGATTAGATATAGCCACAAATGACAAGCTCATCCATGGCTGTTGATCATGGAAATCTTTGCTTCATAGGAAATTGTTCAGAGAGAGGTTCTGTATTTGAATGGACCTTTGCTTTTAAGTGTTGGGGCACCTGAAGTCTGGATCCTGCTACAGCACTGAGGCAGCTCCATTTTGGCAAAGCTGAGACCTCATCCTACAGGTGGATAGCTAAATTTCTCGTGTCTGCATCTCCTGAAGATCCAGTAGATGTGTTTCAGGTGTGTCTAAGACCATTCTAATAGCATTGAGTTCAGCACTGAGTATGGTCTCTCAAGGAGGTTGAGCTGTTCTCTTCCGAGCATGTTTAAATGTGTGCGAGAGACTTGAGGTTTTGGTGGCCTAAGGCTTCTACTTCCAGTGCTACTTTTCCATGTTATCTAGCCACTCTTGGATGCAAAATAAAACTTTAGAACCGGCGTTCAGCACTCTTCAGATCAAAGACCAAACCTGGTCCCTGCTTGCTTTTCTCTTTTGGACCATCTAAGTTGATTGTGGTAACATGGTTGAAGGGAATCCCTTCATCTCTTGAGGGTGTGGATGAAGAGTACAGGCTACAATATCTTCTGGCTTTGTTGCTTTCCAGGTGAGGGTGCTTGTCACCAGGTTCAAGATCCTTGGGATGCTTCCCTTTCTGCTGAGCCTTGGAAGGAAGAAGTTGAATATCTGTGTGCAAAGAATTATGTTAAGTTCCTACCACAGGAACAAATTTCTGGTGAATCCCAGTTTCTGAAGCCCTAGTGGAGGCCTGTTGTGACAGAAGCCTCTGCTTACTGCCTGAAAAGTAACACTCAGCAACATGAGTTATGGAGCCTTTTCTAGCACCCATAAATCTTGGAAGAGAATCAGTCTTCAACCATGTACCCATTCAGGCTAATATCACTTCTTGCAGCTGGAATTAATCATGTCATTAGGCAAACAACAGGGGTTCATTAGGACCAAAGGTGACTTTAATTTAATTGAAATATAACTTGGCAAGTAAAGAGGTGATCCAGTTCACAACACCTAATGGGAGGTCTGGGTTATATATGGAAAAGTTAATGGCCGTAAAAATATCCAAACAACATATTTGTGCACGTGTTCCAGTAAAAGTCCGAGCCAACTACTTTTTAATGGTTTGGGTTTTCAAATGTATATATTAATGTTCTTAAAATAAGAGTAAGTCTATATGCACACACAGCATAGAAATATGAGGTGGGTGGGGGTGTGAGGGAGGGGAACCTCATGGTCAGGACAGCATCAGTGGAAGCCACTGTTCTCCTTGTGCTGGAGAAGGCCACTGAACTCCTTTGTTCCCCAAAGCATGTGTCTGTGTAATGGCTGTTACAGTCTTGCCCTT